TGGCGCCGGTTGAGGGCGGTCTAGGATGGGAACTTTTGAATCACCATAAATCACGTGGGTTCTAAAAGCCACCTATACCTATATGTTCAAGTCGGACTGTATCACCTCCACTCTTGTGGGCAGCGGGGTGCTAATGGTCTGCAGAGTCTTTCTACAGCTCCTTCTTTCTCGTTTCTCATAAGAGTACGCGCGCCCGTTCTCTTATCAGAGACGGATGTCCAACAGCCCATTACCGACACCTCGCGGAACAGGTTTGGCCTTGCTTTGTCAGTGCCGGCAGCGGGACCCTCATGCAAGCCGAGGGGTGAATCACTTCTGTACTCATGTGAACAAGGAAAGTGCTCTCCTACTTATCTGTACTCGTAGTACATTGGTCTTGTACTCGCGAGGCGAGGGGGTGCGGAGAAGTACATTCAATACGAGGTTGAATATAAAGTAAGCTGTCACTCTATGTACGTATGCCCATGCCCATTCGGCATCTGCGACCAGGTCGGTTGTAGTCTTTATACAAATTTACACTTTATTATCTCGACAGAAGCTACGTATCTGGCTGATTTAATTTTTGTATTTTGCACCAACCCTTTCTTTTCATTTCATGCAGAAAAAGTATAATGCTTGGCGTGGCCAACTTTGTTTGTGGTGCTCATGTCGCCTGCGCTGGCGCACCTCATCCGTGTGAGTGGTTGAGTGCTTAGTGCCTGCGAATGGCCTAGCGCCACCCAAAGCTCGGCTGGAAAAACACTTACTTACGCTGCGCCAAAACTTTTATGACTGCGACGCCGCCTGCTTCCTTCCGGTGCGGCAGGGGGAAGTCCGGCAGGTGGTTCTAAGCGCCCAAGACCCAACGTATTCAGAGAAACTGTTCGCCAGAAAAAAAGAGAAGAAAAAGAACGTGCTGGTCAACCGTAACCCCACGAGTGTCACCAACATGACAACTGACTTTTGTCCTCCCCCGTTCGCTCAGGACCCACCGAGTCGTGCGGCCCGGTAGCGGCCGCGAGGACAAAATACACAGTTTTAGTTCTGACAAGTCACCACAAACACGACCCACCGCCGCGCAGCTCGGCGATCTAAAACGAATCCGGGGACCATCATTGAGCCATCCATTTCTCTTCCTGGGCTGGCCCCGGCAGGGCGCGCGGGGGAGGCCGGCCGCGACACGGGGAGATAGCGAAGGAAGCCGCCGCGGCGGGGGCCCCGGCCCGGGTGACAACCAGGTCCGCTGCACTCCGTGCCGCCCCGCCCCGCCCCGCCCGGAGGAAGGAGACATTTCTCACCTGTCATAGCGCAGCGAGGCGTCTTCTAAATTGCCCCCGCCGCCGTCTCGTCACCCATCGGAAATCTCGCGCGCAGAGGGGGAAGAGAGAGGGAGAGGGGGTCATGGTGGTCGTCGTGGATGCGTTCCGGTGCCTACCACGACCGCCGTGATGCCGATTCAATAACACGCCATACTTGTCGAGAAAATGAAATATTTTCCGTAGTCGGGCTGGCGATAAACAAGTGGAGAGAGACGGGAGGAGACTGGGAGGAGAGAGGGAGAGAATGTCGAAGTATGCGTCCAGTTAGGGGCAGTTGTTGCGCTCCCGAACGCAGTGGCCCGCCCCTAGCGCTGACCCCCGACTCTCCCGACTCTTGGCCGCCGCCTAATGCGCGCACACGGGCTGCTGCTCCCTTTGGACCTGTACGCCCGGCGCCCGCAGCCTAGTTTTTAACACCTTCGCTCATCAGCGCGATGCGGCGCAGCGCTGCCCGACATGGAGCAGAGCCTTCCCCCCCCCCCCCCCCCC